TCCATTGTGGTGGTGTATAGAGCCAAAGATGTTAGAATTGTGTCGATGTCCCAATATTTCTGGACCTGACTGTATGCTTCTGATTCATTATTTCTTGAAATTCTATTCTCTTGCCACTGTCAGTGGTTCTAATGCCAACAAAAAGAGGGGAGAAAAGGCCCAATGTTGTTGTGTCCCTATTGTTATAAGTTTGGGGTTTTTTGTAGCTAACGAGGATAGGTATTAAGAGCATCTTTTATTTTGATTAGAGAAGCAAGCCAACCTCATCAGATGAAAATATCCATTATGTACTACTGAAGAACATCTTTCCTTGAAATGTGTGGTTTACAGGAGTATCAACATTACTTCATATCAACAATGTGATACAGAATTTTAGCATTCGTAATAAAGCAAATGCTAAATTCAGTTAGCTGTTAGGGCAATTTGTGCTCTGCATTTTGTTTCTGGATTCAGTCAGAGGTGAAAAGTGCACAGCACATCTCCAGTACAGTACGGCAATGCCTGGAAACTTCTCTTCTGAACATGCTGTTGGTGCAGTTGCCCAAATAACTTCCTCTGCCTCCCCTCCTATATCCATCTATGTTACAAGCAGCTATTTTCGGTATAATACAGCATGCTGTATAAGTAGCACGCTGCTTGCAGAAGAACTATTTTCACTCTCCTGTTTTGGGCATCAAAATCCAAATGCTAGTGTACATTTTGTGTATATGCACCATGAGAGGCTTCTAACTATCAACTGAAATTCATCTTAAAAAAAAATCTTTAAAAAAAATCTCAGGTTTGGGTGGGTCCCTAGATCACAAGAGAGGTCCTTCTATCCTTTTCTCCAAAATCATCTCACAACAGAAAGAGAATACTTTTATTTTATTTAAGGCAGAGTTGGTTAAAGTTGTTTCCTTTAAAAAACTGCACTTCTGCAAATTTGTGTTTCCTCAAGTCTGCTGATACTTCCCTCTTTTCTCACTTCATAAACAATATCACTCAAATAATTGAACAGGATTACAAAAAATATGATTATAAGCGCAGTCTAAAATTGCATGGTCTTCCAGACAGCAGACTTGACCAAGGGTGGCTTCATTCTCTATGAGCAAAAGTAGTTTTTCCTTCAAAACTCTTTCTTTTGTAACCAATGATGAATACTACCTTGATACTGCACAAGAACTGGCAGTTTCTACTTTAATCTTCTGTAGAATCTCAAGATACAGTTGCTACTGAGTGGCCATTATTTTATGTTTCCCCCAAATCATAGATAAAACTCAGTGAAATAAATACTGAACATACCTATAAGCGATGTGTCAGTGAATGGTCTACCATCCTTATGGAATATTATACAAGGAAGCCCATTACTTCTGTCTTGTAATTGGAGGGAACCACTACTGGAATACTCCAGCACTCCAAGCAACACCTACCCTCCCGGTCCAAAAGTAAAAGGTGATTATTACCCATTGACAGGAAAAGAATACGATTATTCATTCATTAATTATGCCCTATGCTTATAAGAACAAGTACTCTTTCGCATACTTTTCTAGGAGTATCTAAATAATAAACCTTTGTACAGTATAGTAGAGAGACATGGTCTGGTGCAGTGGTTAAGGCACCAGGCTAGAAACCGGGAGACCATGAGTTTTAGTCCCGCCTTAGGAATGAAGCCAGTTGGGTGACCTTGGGCCAGTCATTCCCCCTCAGTCCTAGGAGGCAAACCACATCTGAAATCTTGCCAAGAACACTGCTGGGACTTGTCCAGGCAGTTGCCAGGAGTCAACACTGACTCGAAGGCACACGCATGCACAGTACAGTGGGAGTGAACAAACTACTTCATGTTTATTCTCTGTGTATACTGTACGTCAAAAGACGATTCTTTCTTGCAATCTTTGAGAAGGTAAATGTACTACTTACCAGTGGAGGCTGAAAACATTCAGCGGACAAAATATAGTAGTTCTGGCCCAAACTGCGATTTAGTTCCTGGATATTTGGGTTGCAGATCTTTAAGTCAGAATGCAGCTGCTGCAATGGATCATGGCTTTCCCAGCAGCTCTTCTCAACTGTACTATACAGTTGGGAGAAATGTGGAATCTGACATGGTGGCTCCAGAATCTGGTACTAGAAAAAGGAGTTAGGAGTTAAGTTATCCCCACAAAGAAACAAGTGCACAGGATTATGGAAAGGGGAATTACCTGATCTAGGAGGCAATGGTGCTTTTCTGCCAGGATCTCTACATGGAGGTTTCTTTCCTGTTTCCTGGGTAGCAGCAGGGAATTCAGAACAGGAACAATGAACTTCTCTGTTGGCCCTTGTGAGTGATGGCTAAAGGAAAGCAGCAACTTCTGGTGCTGAGTGAAATAACAGAACCTAGAAAGATTTATGATAACATTACAATCTTCAGAGATACAACAGGGAAAAAAGAATTTCAGGTGAAGAAAATTTAGGGGCAAAAAAAATCTGAAAAGCACAAAGCAAGACAGAGAAAGGAGAAGAAAATGGCTATTACGAACAAATTCAAAGTAACTTCCAACATAATTTCTTGAGTCTATTTATTCCCTGTACCAGTAAACCTGGTGCTCTCCAGATGTTCTGTATTTCAACTCCAGCAAACTCAGCCAATATTACTGGTGACCATGAGGCTAGAAATAATGAGAGTTAAAGTCAAACACATTAGGAGACTGAAAAGTACTCAAAATTTATCTCAGTACAGTGGTACCTCTGTACAGTGGTACCACAAACACGTCTGTTCACAAACAATTTGATTCACAAACAGCACCGTTCGCAAAATTTTGCTTCCGTTCGCGAACTCCGCATCAGGTGACGAACTGGAACCGCGGCCATTTTCCCTGCTGTGACACGTGGTCGTGGCTTCCTGTAGGGAGGGGGACTC